GCACGAAAGAAACGGAAACGCGAACAGATGCAAGATGGCGATGACGACTGGTCAGAAGTTGAGGGTATCGAGACGGAACAGCCCCGCCAAGGCATGAAGAAGAAAACGGCCAAAGATGCGAAAAAGAAGCAGAAGCAAGACGCCGAGGAAGCAGAGTTCACCGAGATGGAGCGGCGGAAAGAAGAAAAGAAAGCAGCGCGAAAAGAACGCAAGGCAGAGCGACAACAACTGCGGGAAGAGGAAGCTGAGTTCAACCGGAGAACCATCAAGGGTGCGAACAAGACAAAACTCGGAAAGCGAGAAGACAGACCAAATACACTACCGGACGGTGATGCATCACAGTCTAACTCTACAACGAAATCACGCGAGTCGGTCGGAGAAGACGCAACCGATGCAAATGATCAGGTGGATGTAGAGGATGCTGAAACTTCAGGATTTCCTGCCGATGCTGGTGAGACCCATGACTCTGAATCCATGGTATCCCCAACCGACACTCCACAGTCCCCCGTCTTCGACATAAACGGCACGCCCGCAGACTCCACAGGTCAAGCGCCTAGTATAACAACGTCCGTTTCCTCCGCCGATCCACCATCTGAAAAGCCAAAGCATATAAAAATTCCCGCCGACAGTGCCGCGCTACGTGCTCGTCTAGCCGCCAGAATCCAAGCTTTACGAGATGCCAGGAAAGCCGATAGAGACGGCAAGCCAATTCGTACTCGGGAGGAGTTACTGGAATCTCGTCGTCAAAAGCAAGCAGAGCGCAAGGCCCACAAGAAGGAACTAAGACAACAAGCCAAGCTGGAAGAAGAGCGAAAACGCGAAGAAGCGCTTGCGTCAGCGCGCGAGTCTCCGGGGTTCCTTAGCCCTAATATCGATCTTGAACAGACCAATTTCGCCTTTGGCCGTGTTGGATTTGGCGATGGCTCCCAGTTGTCTCACGATCTTACACACGTTCTCAACAAAGGTCCAAAGAAGGGTCCTTCAGACCCTAAGACAGCACTTCAGAAGTTTGAAACTCAGAAGAAACGGCTCGAGGCGATGGATGGAGAGAAGCGAAAAGATGTTGAAGAAAAGGAGGCATGGCTTACTGCCCGGAGACGAGCGGAGGGGGAAAAGATTAAGGACGACGAAAAGATGCTTAAAAAGGCTGTCAAACGCAAGGAAAGCATCAAGAAGAAGAGCACTAAAGAGTGGTCGGCCAGGAAGGAGGGCGTCGCAAAGGGCATCAAAGAACGCCAGAAGAAGAGAGAAGAGAACATCAGAAAGCGACGAGATGAGAAACTCCTGGGTAAAGCTGGCAAGAAGAAGGGCGCTAAGAAGTCGTCTAAGGGCCGAGCTGGCTTTGAAGGTTCTTTCATGGGAAAGAAACGATGAGAACCATCGCCACAATAAACACGTTTATACCACAATAATCATTACTCGGACATTGAGTAGGGCCAACCCGGTGTGCATTCGCTGCGATCTTTTAGACAAAGAGATGATATACCCTTTCGTCAAACTGGCTTCTATCTCGGGTTTGACGTAATGCCATGTGAAATTTCAACGATGCGTTATCAATGCGCTTTTGATTAGGCAATGTCAATTGGTACTATATCATTTGCTGCTCTGCATTTGTGAAAGAGCTATTCGGTTTTGTGACAAAACGCATCGTCTAGGTCCCCGAGGAAATCCCCAGCTCCAGCCCGTTCATAATCATTACGTAGTCATACCGACTCACAAATACAGCGTCTTTCGAACGGCTGAATACAGAGCAGATTATGCGCTTGTACCAAGTATTTGATTGACCGATTTGAATGGGAAGGGAAAGTTGGTGCCTGGGGCAGGATAAAGTGTTCAAAGATCCTGTAACAATCGCCCGGCGGCTTGGTTGAGGCTAGATACGGCACATATACATATCCTCGAGCGCGAGAAAACAGGGCCTCCGAAGAGAGGGAGTATTCGCCTTACAGAAGCATAAATAGTCAAAAGCTGAATCGTTTGGCCTGGCGTGTTCACATCTCAAAGTCTCCGCATCATGAGAGGCCAGGGGAGATCTTTCGAGCAGGCCAGATTATCCAACAGCTCATTCCACAATCACACGCTTGATTTGATCTACTCTAACGCCTTCGAAGCAAGTCTCTTGCCATTAAATCAGTCTTGCAGACCGTCGCATCATTGCAAGTCTTACTAGTCTCTACTGTTTGGAGGATATCCGCTCTCTGATCGTATTGGAACAAGCGAACGTAAGTTCTAGGTGCAATTTAATAGCTTAAACTTCTACGAAATCTCAATGATTTGGCTGGGTACAAAGATAGATAGCTTCATGCGAGCAATGATTCATTAGGCATTCCGCCATCTCCTTCTCACTGGCAACGGTATTCTCGGGTCGAGTCATGTCACGGCATCTCACTAGACGGGAAAATCAAATCACCTACCTACTTTGCCATTGCCAAGAACTCATCAACCGCATCACGCAATATCCACATACAAGCATATAATCGCCCTTGGAGAGCCCGGAGGAGGAGTGCAGATCCTGAACCACCTATCTGAACCCCGAAAAGAACCCATGCCGAGACGCACGGCAAAGCAACTCCTCCTCTCCTCCACCACCACCTGCCTTGCCGGGAAACCGAGGGGTGCTATTGCCGTCCTATCATATCCCTTGGCCAGCGCCCGCGCCGATGATGCTATTTGGCATAATATGCGCGGTATCTAGATCGGATAGGGGTTTGAAATAATTCTTTTACGACTATGTTGGTATATAAAAGGAGGCATAGGAACACAACTCGCCTTCGCAAGGACGAGATAGATGAGTTGAGTCTCCTCAGGACTTACTGACACTCGGTTAGCACATTGTCTATCCATCAATCTTCCATTGGACTTCAAAGTCTTGGATCAAACCTTCAATCTCTGATAACGCTCCACCTATACTACTGCATATATAAGTACATTCTTGCTGCAGCACGCAGACACAAGCCCAACATGCGCATTCCGGCCCCAATACTTTCCACCCTTCTCCTCCTCTCTTCCCAGTCCATGGCGACAACGGCAAAAACCCCCGTGGTCGGCCCAGTGAAAGGGTCCTTGGTAGTAGTCGGCGGTGGCACTCTCAGCGACTCCATCTACCAGGAAGTAATCACGCGAGCAAAGGGGGGCCCAATAGTCGTGATCCCGACGGCAGACGAGGCGCCGACTTACGACCAAAACGCCGCAGGCGCGTCTACGTTCCGGCGTCTGGGCGCCTCGAACGTCACGGTCGTGCACACGTACGACCCGGCCGTGGCGGACACGGACGCCTTCATCGCGCCGCTGCGCAACGCGTCGGCCGTCTGGTTCGGCGGCGGCAGACAATGGCGTCTCGTGGACGCGTACGCCGGGACCAAGACGGAGGCGGCGTTCCAGGCCGTGCTGGATAGGGGCGGGGTGATCGGCGGGTCTTCGGCGGGCGCGAGCATCCAAGGCAGCTTCCTCGCGCGCGGCGACACGGCGACGAACCAGATCCTCGTCGGCGACCACACGGTCGGGTTCGGGTACCTGCGCAACGTGGCCATCGACCAGCACGTGCTGGTGCGCGGGCGCATCTTCGACATGTTCGACATCCTCAAAGTGCGGCCCGAGCTGCTGGGGTTCGGGTGCGACGAGAACACGGCGTTTGTCGTCGATGGCGACAGTGCGCATGTCATTGGCGCGAGCTACTGTGCTATTTACGATGGTGGTTTCTGGAGCCGCGAGGGCAGCGCGGAGAAGAATGTGCCGCCCAAGGATCGCGTTTTCTACTTCTTGAGGGCGGGTGATAAGTACGATCTTGCTGCGCGCAAGGTTATTGAGTAGAGGGGGAGAGAAGAGAGGCAGGGTGAAGGATTGGTGTGGAGCGATGAAATGTGTCGGTACTTAGGAGGTATGAGAGATCTGTTGAATAAATTCTATTTTGATTGAGGGCAAATACGCCGTAGCTGAAAGCCAAAATATATTGAGTGGACGTATAGCTGCTATACTTCGGATCAACTCAACACATCACTTTACTTTGGCTTTCTTCTTCTTTATCTGGTGCTAAGGGGGTCTAATTACCTCCTTTGTGCCTCAGAATACAGCTCCTCACTATGTATAGGATTGTCATGTCGAGATCTAGGCGCAGTGTTTTGTAGATTATGCTGTGCAAGAAGCGGCTATGGCTGTTGCAGTCGGTGGTTACTTTACCTAGGTATGAGCAGAGTGGCACTCTCTGGTATATCCCCCCCAGGATTTTTCCATATATCGGCGATGTTTGGATTGAGCTCCCACTGACCCGACTAGAGTGGTTGATATATAACCCTCTAGGTATTTATGGTGGACTGGACGTTGGAAACGAGTGTATTCTAGGCTGAACTACAGCAACTTTGTAGTTCTCTTTTATGTCTGTGACTTGAACATAGCTACAGCTGGAGCTACACACTCACTTTCGTATCAATACCGGAGTAAATTTAATACTATAACGCATGTGAGATTCGACTGCAAGTTGAGAGTGTTTGACTACCAGCCAGATCTTAACTCTGACGAATCACTTACTCTCCTGGAATGGGGTGTGCACGCCTACCCTGGAGTAGCGCAGCTAGACAGCTCACAAGTGTAAGTCAAGCTGCTCAAGGTCTCGGCCGGTTCAACATGGTCAACTATGTCCTTGCATATTTTCACCAGTATGTATGAAAAGGAAGAAGGAAACAGACCCCAAACTTTGCACCCTCATATTCACCGGATTCTGTGATAAAGAGACAGTGAGCATTATAAGACACCAGACATTATAACGATAGTTTACAAAGCTATAGCTCTTGCTCACAATGTAGAGGGCTATAGTCCGACCACGTCATGAACACCAACTCTTTCACTGTGAGCTATGTAAATATGTCGGTAATCGTCTAGAGGTAAGTAGTCTAGTGCAAAAACACTTCGCCAACTAGATAGAGGACATATCTTACTTAGTTCAGTTAAGACGCCACCGATTCATCAAGTAGGGGTCAGCCAGCCGATCTACCATAAGTGACTCAGGGCGAATGGTCTAGGGGTATGATATTCGCTTTGCACGTCTGAGTCATTCAGAGTAAATGTTTGCGAAGGGTCCGGGGTTCAATTCCCCGTTCGTCCAAGTTTCCTTTTTTTTTATGTCTCTTTTCTTCTTTAAGAAAGAAAGAGACTACTCAGTCCGCGGGGTTTGCGAGTCTAGACGTTGTAATCTGCCATGACTCGTTCTTTATGAGTATAGTGTTCTTTAGCGGCTTCATTCCAAGAGTACTGGAAGTAACACATGGCAAACCAAGACTCCTAGAGTGTGCTTCGATATGATGTGGGTATACTTTGTATTTCCTGTTATGTGGTGTGATGCCATTACGCTTTGCATGTTTCCTGATGTTGTTACGCTCGCATATGTAGAATTTCGGAATAGCCAGACCGACAAGAGAGCAACAACCGTCAGTTGAGTCGGCTGTACTCTGCCATATACTAGTGATAGGTAGCTGTTAGTCCACTGTTTGTGATAGAAAGAATATGCCATAGCTAGGCTGTGACTGATATTAACGGCTCGTCTAGGATTGACTCTATTGTCTATTTTATGAATACAGTATTAGTTAAAGTGATATTCTGGGGTGAGGTATGCGTGAAGCTGGATTCTTAAAGAACACTTTATGACGTTCAGTTGAATGGCCCCTATCTAACGCATTTATGCCAACTTTTCAACTCTATGTATTTTATATCGGCGTTGCTGCACAATCCGCAATATGATCGGAATGACACAAGCTTTAGCTGCTCCTCTTCTAAGATAAACACAGTACCTCGATAACTAATGCTTGTTGTTCAGATGAACTAGTATGGGCTTGAGTATACTTTTCAACATATAACGCACATTTTCCAGCATCCCGATCTTTGCTTCAGAGAGGACCGATGCATCTTTAATATGAATACGGAACCAATAGATATCTTTATATGTAGAAATTCTAAATCTGTTGTTCACTGTGTACTAGATCTGCTGTCTCCCAATTAGCACTAGGTGCCTTCAGCGGCTGCACAGTAGCCTAATCTTGAGGTCCAGCAGCCACCTGCAAGCTACTCTACCACCCCTACACCTAATTCGTTTAACCCTTTAACCTTTTAATTTAATACATACATCCTTTGACTATGTAAACTTTATTAAAACGACGATGGCTTTACTCCTAGAGTCGACCCTTTAAACTTAAGACTTGTCGAACTCAGCGGTCTTCTTCGCCCCGTAACCTTTTATACTACAGCATAAGAAACTACCACTTAGCACCATTTACAACATAGCTACTTATTTTTAATACCTACCTAGATACACAATAATATAAGACTAGGTAGAGCACTGCGCGCTGCTAGGTAAGTACGCTATTATATAATTCTAGGTACGGAGTAGCTTACACAGTAGCGCAGCTGACTCCAGTTGCTACCACTTGAGGACAGCAGATCTAGTACACAGTGAAAAGCAGATTTAGCATTTCTCTTTATATTTTTATCTAAGCCGCCGCGGAAAACGTAAAGTGCAAGTCGTAGCGTCAGGGAATCAAACGCCTCCCCTAGCCCCTAGTCTGAGCATGGGATATTAATCAAAAACATTAAGAAGCTGTTTTTCGCCTTGCCTTAACTACTACTATAACGATATGTTTCTTAGCTTGGGGGAGCGGACGGGGACCCTCATTCTCTACATCCTAAAGCCGTACGCAGGTAGAGATATGTTCATTAGCCCTTATAAAGTGGCCTGGTTGGACATTGTGCTTATGGTGCCCACCCCAACGATACTGAGAACATCTACTTGTCCGGTACTAAATTAAGTAGATGACGATTCCGTGGGTGACGACTCAAATCCTACCTCAACAGGCTGGCACGGCTACTTATGTAAAAGGACACATGTCAGTCAAGATGAATCGCTACGAAAGAGACAAGGCAAATTGTCAGTCGTACGAAGCACCTCTATGGAGAATAGGTGTGTAGGTGATAGCAGACATGTCTTATCATCGCCGCAGGAATCATTACTATCACGATGTTGTTCACATTCCGGAGCATACTCAGGGCTAATATTGGCAATTGTATCTTGTCTATCTCATTTTCATACCGTGTGCGTATTAGCGCAACGTAACAATCCTGCTTGATCCTCCCTCATTATAAAAGCCATCGTCAAGTCTTGGCGGATGTGACCTTCACTCGCAACCCCTTTGTGTCTAGCTTTGGCGAAGGCACAAAAAAGTCGTGTGCAATTTCAATGTCAGAAATATCGGTATCATATAGCTCAAATGTAAAACGGCGAAATAAAGTAGCGAGCACTCGGTAAAGCTCTACATTAGCCAAGCTGTCATGCCACAGTGTCAGCTAGGTTTGAAAAGCGGGATCAATCAAACGTACTTGATGCCAATACACATCCGAGGACCTTTACCGAAGGGGACGAAGTAACGAGTAAGATGATCGCCTTCACTAGTCTTCGGATTATCCAACCACCGCTCCGGGATAAAGGTGCGAGGATTTTGAAATATTTGATTATCGTTAAGGACGTCGATGGTGGTCATCGAGACTGGTGTCCCGGCAGGAATTAACCAGTTTTTATATTTCATTGGCTTATCCCGTGAGACGCGTGGGAGGCGGACTGACACACCCGTGGACAGTCGAACCCCTTCTCTGACGCACCCAGTAAGATATGGAAGCCTTTCTAAATAGAGTGAGTCTGGTATGGCTGCGGGATCAGGAATAGCTTTCTCGAGCTCAACCTGCAACTTCTTCAGAACAGAAGGATTGCTAATGAGATGAAAGACTGTCGTTGTCAATGCCCAGGCAACAGTCTCCAGTCCAGCTCCTATCAGTTGCTGTGCCTCAGAACCTAAACGGCCTAGTGTCTTCTCCCGTTGCGGTAGATCACTGCCAAGCAGCTCACTGAAGATAGTGGGATGCTGAGATTCGTGGCTAGTTTCGTCCTTGGCATTGATAATGTTCGTGATCTTTGATTTGAGGTCCTTTTCGCGATTAGTAAAGAGGGTATAAGTGGTTATTTGCAAGGTGGCTTACCTTCTGCAATGTAAACATCTTATGTATATTGGGAGTGACCGTCTTGATCACCCAGGCGGGACTTAGCCCCAGTACCTGCGTCGAGTGAGAAATTCGATTTTATACATGGTTTAGGATTCCCGTTACTCACAATAAACATAACAGGAAATTGAAGTCCAAGATGCGCGAACTTGCGAACAGCCTCATAAGCTGGGTGGAAATTGTCTTCGAAATCGGCCGAATCCAACTGATTCCAGCAAAATCCAAAACAATATGATGCAATGACATCACCGGAGAACGCATTGAAGGCATTGTTGAGGACGAGTATTTTCCCGCTCTCTTTGTATGCTGCAATGCGCTTGCTTAAAAGCTCAACTTTCTGTTTGATGACGGGCTCGAACTTGGTGATGCTTCGTTTGGAAAACATCGGATTGAGCGGAGCTCGGCGAATGGCATGGAGGTCACTCTTCACAGTTGAGGATGTTGTAGTATTAGCACCGAATCTTCCCGACATCCATTCATACCTCTCATACTCTTTATGGCCAGTGTAAAGCTCATCCCAATAGCTACTATCTTCCACGTGGAGCTCAAAGGGGTTTATGCGAACAATAGGACCTTCAAAAGTCATAAAGTTAGATTATGGAAGTGCACTGCTATACTCTACATACCATATTTCCTATGCATTTTCTGGATCTGAAAAGTGAACTGGCCTCTCAAAATGACATCGTAATAGAACTCATACCACTTCGAAATCGCTGCGAGTTTCGGACCGGGGAATTTCGAGAGGGGGCTGAGATACAGACGATAAAATACAAGACAAGTAAGATACGAAATCCATATCGAAACAGAAGTCGCCAAGATAGCCACGGACGGCCGTGCAAGGATCGACGAATAATCCATAGCCAGGATAAAAGATGACCACAACACGAGAGCGGAAGCGAGAAGCAGTATCCTATGAGGGAGCTTGATCTGTGTCCCGTGGAAAGAATTGACAATCCACTGGTAGTAACTAAAATAACCAGGGTAGGTGGGTGCAGGTTGGCAGATGAGAGACCTCGGAGCCCGGGACGGAGCGCGCTACTCAATTAGGAAAACCCGGAGCAGTGAATATTACAGTACGGTCGAAGAATTGTAAGAGAATCTTGGAAGGTAGCTTCTTAAGCAATGCTCTTCATGAGAATATCTCGTATTTGTTTCAGTAACTTCCTTGAAGCAGTAGCCATTCATCACAATGTCGCTGTCCAGGTGGCTAGAGGTCACGATGCTTTCCACCCTTCAACTTGTCATTGGGGCTGGCTGTGTACTGGTAAGTCTGCCCTTCTGACGTGTCTTGTTCAAAAGTTGACATTAGAAGGTATACGTGGTGGCTTCGATGATCTATAACAGATATTTCCATCGTCTCAGGAATGTTCCTGGTCCATTTTTGTGTGCTGTCTCTTGGCTCCCTTGGTACAAGTACTGGTTTTCGGGCTACATGCACCGCCATGTTTTGAGGCTACATGAAACATACGGTCCTGTTGTGAGATTGGGTCCCAGTGAAGTCTCGTTCATAGACGGCGCTGCTTGGAAAGACATTTACAGTCTGAAAAGATGCAGACAAATAGAGCGTGATCCAAAATCATTCCCAGCACTCACACCAAATGGTGCGAAATTCGACTTGTTAACTTACAGTCCTTCTGATCATGCAAAGTACCGCAAAATCCTCAACCCGTCATTTTCTGAGAAGGCAACCAAGGAATACGAACCGACCATTCATCAGAACACAGACAACTTCATCAAGAAGCTTTCCGCCAGGCTTCAGGACCGGGATTCCAAGATCAACCTTACCCAATGGTTACAGTGGCTTACATTTGATATGGTTGCTGATGTAGTCTTCGGCGAGCCGTTTGACTGCGTCACGGAAGAGCGTAGCCATCCTTGCTTGGCGCTATCGATGGACCTTGTTTCATTTTCTTCATTCATTGTGTTTGTCGCATGGTGGACTGGACTGAAGAACTTTTTAATCAAGTTGTCAGGCGTCGAAGCTCTATTCGTCAACATGGTTCGCTCTAAGTGCGAAAAACACATGGAATCGAAATCAAAGAAAGCGAGCATTTTCTCGAATCT